CGATCCTGTAAAAACAAAAGGAAATAGGAAAGGAAGGCATGTTTACATTTATTATTTAAGCTTGCCTGCAGCTTTCCCTTCCCTGGGATATGGGATAACAGGAAAGTTATTAGTAATAGTAGTAAAAAATTAAAGAACCAAAGAAATGAGGCTTTTGGTTTTAAATTGTGACAGAACTTGTGACATCCAGGATGTATAAAAGTTGAGCACTTCCAAAGGGTGCTTCACAGACATTGGAATTAAGTAAATCAGGTTCCATTTTTTCTTCTATTATATCAGATTCTCCCCACCTCCAATTTTCATTTGTGTGAACCAGTATTGGGTTCCTTCCAATCAATTTTGATAATGAAAGCAACTGTTTGTGTCCTTCTCAGATTAACTTGTTCAGCTTCAAAAAGTTGCAGCTTCACAGAATCAGTGCCTCTCTAACAAACATTCCCAGTACCTTCTCTTCATTTGCTGCCATTAGAGATTCCACAGCCTTCTTCATTTTCTGGACCTCAATATCTAAAAAAGATAAATTAAGTGATAAAGCAGAAAGCCAAAAAGAAAACCACTTTGTGCGAATGCTAATGTTTACGATGTAACAGGAGACAAAATGTAAACCACTTGCTTGCATTTTCATATGACCTAAATATTCAGGGAAGGAACAGAAGGGCATACTTCCTCAGGAATCAGTCAAAGAATCTGAAATTGGCAGAGCCTTACAAGACAAAGATTAATTATACCAGCATTATATTTAGCATACTTATAGTGCTTCTGAGTGTTTAAAGCACATCACAAACATTATTCTCAGCAATACTTGCAACATCATAATAAAGTAGTAGGTCAGTATTGTTATTTTTAACTTTATAATGAAGTGTGGGGGGGGGGTAGAGATGTAAAATTTCCAGAAATTTTGAAGCTCGGAAAACCCCACGGGTTTTTTCCGTTCCCCCCTCCCCCCCCCGGGAAAAAACGGATATTTGGGGGGAAATTGAAAAAAAATGCTACATTAGCACTTCTTTTTCCTTTTCCAGATTGAAAGTCATTCTGTTACTTTAGGAACATAAAATATGACTATGGACATTTTTACTTGGTATGAAATGATCACAACTAGCGTATTAAAAATATAGTGTGTATCCAAACAATTATTACAAACAGAATACCCACACACATGCAAAAACAAAACTGAAACCTTTTTCTTTTCTTGTGACAATAGCACCTCCTAAAGGAAGAAATGAATCTTGTTCTTTCATTGCAGAATTCAGTTTGTAACCTAGGACTTGCTTGACTTGCTTCAGTGCACAGAAATTAGATCAATCTGATACCATACATATTTTTTAGAAATGATTTGGAAAATATTTTAACACCTTGTCTTAAAATATTTTATCCATCATGTTAAAATAAAATGTTCCATAATCATTTTTTTCTTTTCTTTTTTCAATTTTTCGGGGAAAAACAAAAAAGGCTTCAGGGAAAAAACGGGAAAAAACCCTGGGTTTTTTTTCAAATTTTCCCATCCCCCCCCAGGCCTTCACATCTCTAGTGGGGGGGGGGTTGCTAAGGCTGGACACAGTTGTTTATAGAAAGCTACCTAATAAGTTCCTGAGCAAGAAGAAATTTGAACCAGGAACTCTGAATTGCAGCCAAGTCTACCCTACTCCTGCACTCCAGAAATCCTGAGCAATATTTGACCTATATCTCTCCATTAAACTCCATTAAGCAAGTCTTCCTAATTAAAAACAATGGCAACACTATGCAGCAAAATAATCCCTCATTAGGTCAACAGCAAAACATTCCTTGGAATACCTCAGATTCAGCTACAAAGAACAATGGCATCAGGCAACTAATGGCAGGAATGGTAAATGACAAGGATAGCAGAAGTGATGCTTAGCCATAAGCAAGAATGAATGTAGCCATGTTGAGAAGGTACCTCTCTCTGTGGTGATTAGTTCATGATAATGAAGAGAACTTGTAGTATGATTATCAAAAAAGGTGTTTAGGCCAGAGATAGATCATAAGCAAATGGGCCCAGGATGAAATGGCTGGTTTGGAGGGTGTAGTCTATGACATTCTACCTGTCTGAGGTCCCAGCCTTCCGCAAACCCCACCCTCTCCAGGCTCCACCCCTCAAATCCCCAAGAATTTGCCAGCCTGGAGTTGGCAACCCCATCTCGTTCCCAGCTAACCATCAACCTACCATTATCTGCCCCTTTGACTTCAGCTGACTTCCGCCCTCCCTTCTGCAGAGCAGTTGTAATTCTGAGTGCTCTCCAGCCCTCACCTGGAGACTGGCAACAATGGTTCCCCATGAGGGACTGACTGGTTTGGAGGGTGGAGTCTATGGCATTGTACCTGTCTGAGGTACCACCCCTCCTCAAACCTCAACCTCTTCAGGCTCCATCCCTCAAATCTCCAGGAATTTCCCATCTGGAGTTGGCAACCCTATCAGGACTCTGTCAGTATTCTATGTATAGTGTTAAGTCATGCTGTAGATCTGAGGCATCTAACTGACAGGAGCTGACAGCTCTAAGTGTCATGTGAGCTGGCTCTGACCGGTTCTAGCTGGCTACTGCTAGAGCTAATTAGCACTGAGTCACAGTGACTCAGCATTGGCTGTGATTGGCCAGTGGTTGTATATATTCAGTGCTGTACAGAACTGTTCATTCCTTCTTGGAATGCGAGCGCAGCGGAGCATTACGTCACTCTGTGTAAAGATTTGGTGAGAGGCTTGTATAATAAACTGTATATTATTTGTACATAAGCCTGAGAGACTCCAGTCTTTATTGGATACCATTGCACCCATGTTTGGTCTGCTGTGGGCCGACACCGCGTAATATCGACCAATAAACCTGAGGAGGTGATGAGCAAATGTGTCTTTCTCAGTGTAAGAAAAAAATCTTCCAGCTTTTCTAGCACATGCATCTTAACTGTCGGCCTGCTCACTTTGTTGTGCTTGCAAGGTGATTTCAAAGTAAGAGGCAAGTTTGTAAGCCAAAGAAACATCTGTCCCGTCCTCCCCCCGCCCCCGTGCTGGCTGTGCCATATATTTCCAGTCCTCCATTCTACATTGATTCACATTTATACAGAATCAGAAAATCATTCTACTTATAGTGTGTCTTGTGTGTTCAGTAAAACAAGAGATCCCTTGGTTTTACTGTGGTGCTGAAAGACTATTGCTGTTCTGAATCCCTGTCCAGTAACTGTACAGAAATATTCAGCGAACTGAGAAGGGGGAAATAGCAGTTGGTGTATCTATACTTACTCTTAAGCATTTTTCAATCCTGACTTAACTCATGTAAAATTAGAACAGAATAGGCGATGTCCAGATATTTTTGTTTTTTTAATCTTATTATCTGTTGCTATTGTCTGTTTGTGCAAAACCCAATATGTTACGGGGCAGTGCTGCATTTTGCATAGTAAACATGCTCTGGATTGACTATTACAGGGCAGGCTGTGTGGACATGGCCGGTTGAGACAGCAGCTGGGAGCAAAGACACTCAGCTCATGGAGTTTGACAGCGCCCTAGGCAATGGTGACGTGCTGGCTGAGCCCACAGAGGATCCTTCTCATTGACACAGTTAGGTCCTCTCATGCAAATTTGCATACACTCTTCCCCTTAACAAAGTTTGAATCCAGCGGCACCTTTAAGACCAACAAAGTTTTATTCTGGGTATTAGCTTTCATGTGCATGCACACGAAAACTTATACCTTGAATAAAACATTGTTAGTCTTAAAGGTGCTACTGGACAAACTTTATTCTGCGACTTCAGACCAACACGACTACCCACCTGACTGCCCCTTAGTTCACCGAGAAGCTGGAGGCAATGAAATGCTTGGGATGTCAACTGAAGTGTCACTGGTGAAAGACTTTTTCAGAGGGTAGCCATGTTGGTCTGCAATAGAACAGTTAAATTTGAGTCCAGTAGGACTTTAGAGACCACCAAGGTTTTGGTGGTATAAGTTTTCAAGAGTCAAAGATGAAAGACTTGTATTTAATTTGACCGCCAGCTAGAACCCATGTTAAAACATGGATGACAGCAGGAAAACAAGGTTATTTCTGTGCTACCATTGTGTCTACTCAGTGTTGTACTGTGGGATAGTTAAAGGTTTAGAGGTCCAGATTGGCTCGGAAGAGGAGTTTACTTGATGGCCCACTGTGAGCTTTTTGCAAAACATTTCCTAATGAGATTGCTCACATCTGGTCCACCTAGGATGCCATATTAGATTAAGAGGTTTTACCGGTTTTCCCCAGACTAACTTTTTCTCAGATTTTGTTATATACTTTTCAGTTTACGTAAACTGAGAATGTAGGCAAGAATCTCAGTGGTGTTGGACAGTCCACTATTAGTGTCCACTCTTGCCCTTTTGGCCTGGTGAACGTTGCCAGAAGGGATATGATTACTTGGATAGCAGTGGTTGTGAATGCCTCATTGAGAGATAGTTAATCTCACCAAAAGATTGTGGTAAATTCAGTTTTGAAGAGTCCCTCCCTTGACCTCATTTAATTGTAACGATTAGAACTGTATCCAGTGTTACATTCTTGGGCAAGCTAATCAAGTGTGTGGTAGTCTTTCAACTCTGTTTTATTGGATGAAGCTGATTTTCTGGATTCTTATCTGTCTCACTTCTGACATTAGCTATTCTGTGAGATAGCCACAGCGAATGGATCCTTGTCGATTCTTCTGGATTTTTTCAGCAGTTTTTGTTACCATGAGTCATGGTAGCTTTCTGAATTGGGAAAGGACTGCAGGGAGGAACCGTATTATGGTGGCTCCGATGATTCTGTGAGGACCGAGAAGATTATTTTGGGGACTGCTTCTTTGCTTTTAGCCTGTGATGTTCTACAAGATTCTTGTCAGGAGAAGTTCTATACTTTAATGGATCTGGAAAAAAATGAAAGGGAGACAGGTGGTTTTTAGGTTCTTATATTTTTTACAGGATTGATGTTAAATATGAGCATTTTTAGTTAAGTATTAGGGTGTTTACTGCAAACTGCAGATACTTGATATCAAAAGCTGGTGTACTGATTTTAGCATAAAAAAGTGGAAAGTGGTCATTTGATACAATCTTTGTTATGTTATTCTATATTTACATATTTCCCCTTAGCAAAGGGTCCATTAGCCCACAAAACAGCAAATGTCTTTCAACCGTTTTGCTCATCTCTCCATTTAACCTGTTTCTGTCATCTCTGTGCTCTGTGATGCCTGCATTCCTTTCCTCTCAGTAGTACTTGGACGTTAAAATTTTGACTTCTAAAGGATTTTGGGGTGAAAAGTTTGTTGGTATGTCTGGGCTATTGTTCATGTGTATTATGATGTAACAAGATTTTTTATAAGCTATGTTGGGCTTCCCTTAGGAAAGGTAGAATGTAAAAGTTTTCTTTTAGAAAACTACACCTTCATCCATGCCAATATACTATGGACTTCTGAACTACATTTGAATGACATCTTCTTGCTGAATACGGACAGAGCAATTTCAGAACTTCTTGCTGGAAATTAACAAATACTTTCTGCTTATATATGTGATAATTGTTAGACTTCATAGGATCAACCCCCCTAACCAACCATAACTAAATTCTTTGGATGGCTAAGAGCTACATAGGAAAATTTTGTCTACTTCTGGCAAAGCTTACCACTGCTACATTAGACCAAAGTTTGAGTCCAGTGGCACCTTTAAGACCAACAAAGTTTTATTCAAGGTATAAACTTTTGTGTGCATGCACACTTCTTTAGATACAATGATATGGAAATTACCAGTCCATACATATAGGTAGAGGGTGAGCAGTAAATTAGCATACAGCATAATGAATGGTTACCATTTATTTGGGTTTAATTCCAGGGAAAAACATAGTGAAGGAAATAAATGTGTTAAAATTGGAGATTGATGGACAGATGTATCAATTGTGGCATGCTGAGAATAATTAACTGATACCCTGTCATTAAGCTCCATCCCTCTCCTCTCAAACATGGAGGCGACCTGACAGCATCTTCTTCTTTGAAGTGGGGCAATTGGCTGTGTAGAGTCATCTCCCCTATCCCCAGACCAGAGAAATACGTTCCATTCTACCATTCCATTACTTATAGATTTATTCCATCAGAAGTTCAGGGTCTTTAGTGATTCAGAATGTTGCTGTATCACAATATTGTAAGACCACCTCAGCCTGGCTTGCTGTATCTTATAACGTAATAACATTGTGTTATTTTAAATACAGAAGGTGTCAGGCTTCTCTGACTTGCAGGTTTGTTGTTGTTGCAGCAGTTCTCAAAGGCAGTTTGTTTTTAATGAAGATACCAAGAATTGAACCTGGCACCTAGATCAGGGGTGTCGAACTCACTTATTATGAAGGTCGGATCTGACATAAATGAGACCTTGTTGGGCTGGGCCATGTGTGTCATAAAATGTAACACCAGGTAGTGGAGATATAAACTTTATAAAGGACACAGACTATCACAATTTTTTAAAAAAACTTAAAATATGCTTAAAACGTTAGCACTATTGCAATATTGGTTTGTTTAGCAGTCTCTGATCACTGACACCTCTTGCTCTGAAATATTCTATCAAAATCTGGAGACAATGTGCTGTAGCAATCTTGAGTATGCTGTTCAGGTGTTGTTCAGGCGTGTATCTGGAAGTTGGTGTGACACAGAAGGAAGCAGGAGAGTGAGAGAAGGAAGCAGATATGAGCCCTGTGGGGGCTGGATCTGGCCCACGGGCCGCATGTTTGACACCCCTGACCTGGACCATAGTGTCCTACCACTGTGATGTTTTTCTTCCTGGTGCTGTACTGCATTAAAAAGGTAAAGGTTCTCTTGCTCGAAAGCCAGTCGAATCCGACTCTTGGGTTGCGGAGGTCATCTCCATTTCAAAGCCGAAGAGCCAGCGCTGTCCGAAGACATTTCCATGGTCATGTGGCCAGCATGACTAAACACCAAGGCACACGGAATGCTGTTACCTTCCCACTGAAGTGGTCCCTATTTATCTACTTGCAATTTCTTGCTTTCGAACTGCTAGGTTGGCAGGAGGTGGAACTAGAGACAGGAGCTCACTTCGTCATGCGGCACACTCAGGTCTCAAACTGCTGAACTACCAACCTTCCACAGCCTGCAGTTCAGCGTCTTAACCACTTGAGCCACCGCAGCTCAAGTACTCAACTCAAGATGTACTGCATTACCAACAGATAATAGAATTACTGCTTCACTCATCAGTATTCTGTGAAAGCTTGAAATAAGTCCACTTTGACAATTACATTATATGATACCTTAATCACATACAGGAAACCAGAAGTGCCTTCCTGCTGCCTTCGTAGTGTGGGGCTGTGGCATCATCTGCCCCATAACACAGCATTTCCTGAGGGAAGCTAGTGCTAGCATGGAATTGTGCCATCTGCTTGAAATAAAAGATGTGCTGAGCCAGTGTTTGGTGGTACTAAACCAGTATGGTATAAGAGGCTAGTTAAAATGAGATAAGGAGTAAAGGGATGTTGGTTCAATCACCTGGAACTGATGATACCAGGAGGTCTTTGCTTGCCACAGTTAGGCCTAATTTCACCAAGTGACAGCCAAATTTGCTCATTTCTGCGGCACCATAAAAACGTTTTGTATACTTACAATGGATTCACTTTTCACAAAGCCTGGCTCTTTCC